TTCCCCATGGAGATAAGAGGAAGTAAACAAGAACAAGAACTAGAAAGAAAATAGAAGAATACCCAGAGGGGTGTGTATATATATGCTTGTACATGGGAAGGAGGAGTATGGAAGAAGTGAATGTTTTCAGATGCTTGGGAGTTGACGTGTCGGTGGATGGATTTATGAAGGATGGGGTTAATCATAGAATTGATGAGGGAAAAAAGGTGAGTGGTGCGTTGAGGTATATGTGGAGTCAAAAAACGTTATCTATGGAGGCAAAGAAGGGAATGTATGAAAGTATAGTAGTACCAACACTCTTATATGGGTGTGAAGCTTGGGTTGTGAATGCAGCAGCGAGGGGACAGTTGGAAGCAGTGGAGATGTCCTGTCTAAGGGCAATGTGTGGTGTAAATATTATGCAGAAAATTCAGAGTGTGGAAATTAGGAGAAGGTGTGGAGTTAATAAAAGTATTAGTGAGAGGGCTGAAGAGGGGTTGTTGAGGTGGTTTGGTAATTTAGAGAGAATGGATCAAAGTAGAATGACTTGGAGAGCATTTAAATCGGTAGGAGAAGGAAGACAGGGTAGGGGTCGTCCTCGAAAAGGTTGGAAGGAAGGGGTAAGGGAGGTTTTATGGGCGAGGGGCTTGGACTTCCAACAGGCGTGCATGAGTGTGTTCGATAGGAGTGAATGGAGACGAATGGTATTTGGGACCTGACGATCTGTTGGAGTGTGAGCAGGGTAATATTTAGTGAAGGGATTCAGGGGAACCGATTATTTTTATATTGCTGGACTTGAGTCCTGGAAATGGGAAGTACAATGCCTGCACTCTAAAGGAGGGGTTTTGGGATATTAGCAGTTTGGAGGGATATGTTGTGTATCTTTATACATATATGCTTCTAAACTGTTGTGTTCTGAGCACCTCTGCAAAAACAGTGATTATGTGTGAGTGAGGTGAAAGTGTTGAATGATGATGAAAGTATTTTCTTTTTGGGGATTTTCTTTCTTTTTTGGGTCACCCTGCCTCGGTGGGAGACGGCCGACTTGTTGAAAAAAAAAAAAAACATGTATGTGTAGTGTGACCTAAGTGCAAGTAGAAGTAGCAAGACATACCTGAAATCTTGCATGTTTATGAGACAGACAAAAGACACCAGGAATCCTACCATCATGTAAAACAATTACAGGTTTTCATTGTACACTCACTTGGCAGGACGGTAGTACCTCCCTGGACGGTTGCTGTTTACCAACCTACTACCTAGGATTATTGTTGTTATTATTATTTATTTAGATAACCGGATCACAGATCCAATTCCTAATAATAATAATAATAATAATAATAATAATAATAATAATAATACCTCTGGAAAAACAGTGATAATGTGTGAGTGTGGTGAAAGTGTTGAATGATGATGAAAATATTTTCTTTTTGGGGATTTTCTTTCTTTTTTGGGTCACCCTGTCTCGGTGGGAGATGGCCGACTTGTTGAAAAAAAAAAAAATAATAATTCTAGGTAGTAGGCTGGTAGACAGCAACCACCCAGGGAGGTACTGCCGTCTTGCCAAGTGAGCATAAAACGAAAGCCTGTAATTGTTTTACATGATGGTAGGATTGCTGGTGTCCATTTTTCTGTCTCATGAACACATGTACAAGCATATATATACAATCCTCTGGGTTTTCTTCTATTTTCTTCTAGGTCTTGTTCTTGTTTATTTCCTCTTACCTCCATGGGGAAGTGGAACAGAATTCTTCCTCCGTAAGCCATGCGTGTCGTAAGAGGCGACTAAAATGCCGGTAGCAAGGGGCTATACACAAATAACCCGCACATAAAAGAGAGAAGCTTACGACGACGTTTCGGTCCGACTTGGACCATTGACAAAGTCACCGTGTGACTTTGTCAATAGTCCAAGTCGGACCGAAACGTCATCGTAAGCTTCTCTCTTTTATGTGCGGGTTATTTGTGTATTGTTCCAGTCATGGTATTGTGCCTTTTTTTGTTATTTAGCAAGGGGCTAGTAACCCCTTCTCCTGTATATATTACTAAATGTAAAAGGAGAAACTTTCGTTTTTCCTTTTGGGCCACCCCGCCTCAGTGGGACGCGGCCGGTTTGTTGAAAGAAAGAATAATAATAATAATAATAATAATAATAATAATAATAATAATAATAATAATAATAATTACAATTAATAATAATAATTACATATTATTATAATAATGTATGCCGCCAACTCAGTGCACTGTTTACCTCGCTGTTGGAGCAGTTCTCTCATGCTTTGCTTACATTTTTGACAGTTATTTGGCCAAATTTCATTTTTCTAAGCATGAGTCCTGAGATAAACAAGTGAGGTGTCCCAGTTTTGCATTGATGGGGAAGCAGACTCGTAACTCAAATGTTGGCTCGTAACTCAGAGCAAAAAAAAATCAACCCAGGGATGGCTCCTATCTCAGAAAACTTATACGTTGGGATACTCGTAAGTCAGGGTTCCACTTTATTTACAAAGGGAAAGGGAGAGCATTGTATAAGGCCCAAACACTCAGAAATAAGCAGCGATTCTGAGTAGGCTCAAGAAATTGTTTATCCTTAAATTTTCATTGGAGATCACCTTGACAGTGTTTTTGTGGGTAGTTTTATTTATTATTACATATTTTTTTGTTGGATTATATACAGTATTTCTTGTGTGAAAAATGAGGAAAATATTATGCTTACAGGTATGATATTCTCTTGGGATATTTATGAGAGAATAATACAGAAGAAATATGAAAAATTAACAGACACAGAGGGAGAAAAGACAACGTTTATTGAGAAGTATTATACTTTCCTTTCCCTCTTTGTAAAGAACACCTTGAATCACATTTTCATGCTACTGCAGTGTACACTGCAATTACAAATTCCCAGAACTGTATAACCCATATGGGTTTAGTGGAGATGTCCTGTCTAGGGGCAGTGTGTGGTGTAAATATTATGCAGAAAATTCGGAGTGTGGAAATTAGGAGGTGTGGAGTTAATAAAAGCATTAGTCAGAGGGCAGAAGAGGGGTTGTTGAGGTGGTTTGGTCATTTAGAGAGAATGGATCAAAGTAGAATGACATGGAAAGCATATAAATCTATAGGGGAAGGAAAGAGGGGTAGGGGTCATCCTCAAAAAGGTTGGAAAGAGGGGGTAAAGGAGGTTTTGTGGGCGAGGGGCTTGGACTTCCAGCAAGCGTGCATGAGCGTGTTAGATAGGAGTGAATGGAGACGAATGATACTTGGGACCTGACGATCTGTTGGAGTGTGAGCAGGGTAATATTTGTGTACGAATGGTATATAATACCGACAAGATGAGATTAAGACACATGTGCAACATCTGGGTATCTTTATTGTAGACGTTTCGCCATCCAGTGGCTTTATCAATACAAATTCTAGGACATAACTTGAAGACAGTAGAACTATGTAAGAACTATATAAGCGCCAGGCTCCTTTCTTCTGCTTCAGAAACTCCACGACTATGGTGCTCTTCGCACCTACTCCTAGGTTGAGGGACTGATTACCTCATCTTCTGTACATAGTTCTACTGTCTTCAAGTTATGTCCTAGAATTTGTATTGATAAAGCCACTGGATGGCAAAATGTCTACAATAAAGATACCCAGATGTTGCACATGTGTCTTAATCTCATCTTGTCGGTATTATATACCATTCGTACACAACTTGTCAGACACTGCAACATCATGGAATCTTAATTCTGAGGACATGTACATAACCTTCACGACTACGACAACTACTACTACAACTATCCCATCTCTTTGGGAAGGACCTACTTCCACTGGGGAATCCCGCCTACCAGTGAATATGCCCTCATCTGCTACACCTGGCGTTACTATATAAGCGCCAGGATCCTTTCTTCTGCTTCAGAATCTCCGCGACTATGGCGCTCATCGCACCTACTCCTAGGTTGAGGGACTGATTACCTCATCTTCTGTACATAGTTCTACTGTCTTCAAGTTATGTCCTAGAATTTGTATTGATAAAGCCACTGGATGGCGAAACGTCTACAATAAAGATACCCAGATGTTGCACATGTGTCTTAATCTCAGGGTAATATTTAGTGAAGGGATTCAGGGAAACCGGTTATTTTCATATAGTCGGACTTGAGTCCTGGAAATGGGAAGTACAATGCCTGCACTTTAAAGGAGTGGTTTGGGATATTGGCAGTTTGGAGGGATATGTTGTGTATCTTTATACGTATATGCTTCTAAACTGTTGTATTCTGGGCACCTCTGCAAAAGCAGTGATAATGTGTAAGTGTGGTGAAAGTGTTGAATGATGATGAAAGTATTTTCTTTTTGGGGATTTTCTTTCTTTTTTGGGTCACCCTGCCTCGGTGGGAGACGACCGACTTGTTGAAAAAAAAAAAAATAATAATAATCAGTCCTAGGTAGTAGGTTGGTAGACAGCAGCCGCCCAGGGAGGTACTACCGTCCTGCCCAGTGAGTGTAAAACGGAAGCCTGTAATTGTTTTACATGATGGTAGGATTGCTGGTGTCCTTTTTTCTGTCTCAACATGCAAGATTTCAGGTACGTCTTGCTACTCCTACTTACACTTAGGTCACACTACACATACATGTACAAGCATATATATACACACACCCCTCTGGGTTTTCTGCTATTTTCTTTCTAGTTCTTGTTCTTGTTTCTTTCCTCTTATCTCCATGGGGAAGTGGAACAGAATTCTTCCTCCGTAAGCTATGCGTGTCGTAAGCGGCGACTAAAATGCCGAGAGCAAGGGGCTAGTAACCCCTTCTACATGTATAAATTACTAAATTTAAAAAGAGAAACTTTTGTTTTTCTTTTTGGGCCACCCTGCCTCAGTGGGATACGGCCAGTTTGTTGAAAGAAGAAGAATAATAATCAGTGTTCAAGTACTGTAGTATGTTGAATTGAGCTTACTTAAAATCAAGTGAAAAATTTATGAATGCATGAATGAATTTTAAAGTAAATAGGGCAGTAATCAGCAGTCTAAAATTTTTTGTTAATATTTCAGGACTTCCAGACACAACTTGAAATCAGCACCATACAGTGTCAGGAGGCAGAAGAAGCTGTAGAGGCACTGAAACGAAAGGTGAGACTGTTGTCACTAAAGGCATTAATAAATAAAAACAGGAACTTATTCAAGATTTCACAACAGCATAAAAATATATTTATGAAGCTCAGGATATACAGTATTGATCTACTGTATTTAATTATCCAATTATAACCAGGTTGCAGATGGTGAAGAAGAGCAGCGAATTCATGAACGAAAAGGAATGACACTGCTCAAAGACATGAAGAAGCAGCTGGCAGTGGAGCGAAAGCGAGCTGATCGCCTTCAGGAGAAACTTAGCCAACTGTTGACTGATCCTGCTCAGTTAACAGCAATTACAAGTAAGCTGTCCAGTAAAAGTCATTTCACATTCCCACAATTGATTTCCTTGACAAGTGTGTGAAATCATTCAATAGATGAGTTGCACATGTTAGAATGCTGACTCCTTATCCACACTAAGTCCACTAGATATAGTGACCAATGTAAAATACAGATGAATATCAACTATGCATCAGGTAGGAGAATGTATATGAATTTATTGATATATGCATAAAACAAGCTAGATATTGCTAGCTTGTTATTTCTCTGTAAATTTTTGTCTTGATAATTTTTGTAATTTGTTTTATCTTGATCATAGATATTATTCAAAAGGTATACATTGTTTAAGAATATGAATATGAATGCTTGAATGAAAATTTATTTAACATAGTTTATGCTGCAGCTGTCAGGCAAGTTGTGATTTAAGCAGTTTGTCAGTATGGCATATGGTATTAACACTGGCCCTCCCCCACTGAGATAGAGTGATTTGAAAAAGAAGAAACACTTTTCTATCAGTCACTATCACCATCCTGCCAGAGTCATGCAGATACTGCAGTTCAGATGCCCCTCCAAACTGTAAATATCTCCACCCCTTCCTCAGAGTGCATCCATTGTACTTCCTACCTCCACAACTCATGTCCAGCCAAACAGTTTCCTTAAATCCCTTCATAGAATATTACCTTGCCTCCACACACTCCTTAGATCTAACATGTTCACATACACCTGCTTGATGCCCAAGCTCCTCTCACATAAAACCTTTATCCCCTCCCTCCAGCCTTTTCTAGGGTGACTCCTATCTCACCTCTCCACTACAGATTTGTACACCCTCCAAGTCATCCTATTTTGCTCTGTCCTCTCTAAATGTCCAAACCACCTCAACAAGTCTTCCTCATCCCTCTGGGTAATACTTCTAATAACCCTATACCTACTCCAAATCTCCAAGCTATGAAATATTTTTTAATAATTTAGCATGAAAATTTTTTGAAAGTCTGCCATGAATATTGGTGGAAGGAAACTCATTCATAAACTTATTCTACAGCCATGTCAGAAGCAGGTGACGATGTAAGCAGTGTGTCATCTTGGTCTATGGTGTCTGGTGAACCTCGAGACTCCTCTACACGAGAAAATAGCATCATTGTTTCTCCACAAGTTAGTTTCCATTTATTATATACCTCTAGCATGACAGGGCTTGTATGCAGATTTTTTGTAGGAAGGTACATTTTGCACACAAAGTTCATCTGGCAGGTCATGGGAAGGGTCTCTTACCACTAGGAGGGCGGGGGAATGGGTAGCAGTGAACTCAAAACAGGTGCTATGATGTTACGTTATCCTCATCAAAGGCAAGTAGGCACAGTGATGTGTGCTGTTATGTAATTTGTTTACAATTCTCCCACACATTTTAGACATTCAAACCTTATGCTTAATGAACTTATTAATTTATGCATTAATTTACTTTTTCACTCATTAGCCCTTTCTTGCAATCTTAATTTCTCTCATGTTTTTCACATCCTCAGACTATTTTAAAATAAAAATTTTAACTCTTATCTGACACACCCATATTTTTTGCTCTATCATACATCTTTGTACCATACTTTCCAATTACATTATATATTCTGTCTTATGTTTGAATTATTCATGATGAAAATAAGCAGAAGTACAGTGTAGCAACGCAAAAAACTTTGAGAAGAGCACCATAGATTTATCATTCAACTTTATGATAAAATTTCTTGATATTCACTTTAAAAGTAACCATATGGTAAAGAATGTTTACCCTTTTATTTTAAGGAATTGAAAAACAGCCCAATTATTCATAATTATCTTGGCATACAATAACTTTATAATTAAATGGTTTGCCAAGGAATTGACATGTAAACATATTACAGGAACTACATAATCTCAATGTATTATTTGCAAAGACATAAATAAATAAATAATTAAATAAATAAATAAATAAACTATAAATATTTACATCTCTTGTGGGATATTATTCCTTACCCATCTTCAAGCCACTTTGGTCCTTCTACTTATCATGCCTGTCATCTTCCTTCAAGTTAGGAAACTACAATATTACAGCCTCTCTTCACTTAACGACAGATTTCTGTTCCTATGACCACATCGGTAAACGAATTTGTCGCTAAGCAAGCAGCATGCTTTAATGGTAGTGGGTTTGTGTCAACTATCTTTGATATTATTTTAATGTCACCTTTGCACCACTTACAACATTTTTAGTATACACCTACCATCCGACTTACGACCGAGTTCGGTTCCAAGAAACTGGTCGTAAGTCGAAATGGTTGTAAGTCGAACTTTACTACTGAATATCAACATAACATTTTTGTAATGACTTTATTTTATTGTTTTATTTTGGTATTTCATGTTTTATTTTACTTTTTATGCTGTTAGTACTGTATTTTATACTGTAAGGTTTAGGATAAACACTGTGTACAAACACAAATAGTTGTTTATTTCCCAGAAATTTGGCATAAAAAACACGGTCGTAAGTCGAGTGGTCGTAAGTTGAGCAGGTCGTAAGTCGGATGGTAGGTGTATTTTTAAATGTTTATACAGTAGTGTACTGTATATTATAATAAACAAAATAGAGGAAATCAGCCCTAATATACATTATATAGGTATGCATACTAGTCAGCCTGTCATAAGTCCGAGTCGTCGGTAAACGAGTACGTCACTTAGTGGGGAGAGGCTGTAATGTATTTTTAATAAGCAAAAATTTTCTGAAATTTTTGTAACTACAGTAGAGTATTTTATTAAATTTAACTGTTGTATTTTAGGGATCACCTCCACCAGGAGTAGTTACTGAGGAAACTGCTTCCTTGGTAAACCGTGTGACAGAATTACAGCAGCAGAAATGGCAGCTTGAGGAGCAAATTACCCATCTCGAATCTTCTTCTGCTGCAATGGCTGATGATCTTCTGAAAAAGTCAGCCATCATTCAACACTACTGCATGGAACAGAAGAATCATGGTACAGTATTAACATATTTTTTTTTTTTTTTTAACAAGTCGGCCATCTCCCACTGAGGCAGGGTGACCCAAAAAGAAAGAAAATCCCCAAAAAGAAAATACTTTCATCATCATTCAACACTTTCACCTCACTCACACATAATCACTGTTTTTGCAGAGGTGCTCAGAACACAACAGTTTAGAAGCATATACGTATAAGGATACACAACATATCCCTCCAAACTGGGTGTTGTGTTATTAAATTAATTTATTTATAAAATACAAAAGTCACTCTATTATGGCTGGAACAGTTCACAACTAATCCACAAATCATAGATGAAAACTGGACAATGTTTTGGGCCATTGCAGATTCTTGGCTTGATAATGGTCTGAGATACATGGAAATGTGGTTTGGGCACTATACTTTCCACCTCTAGAACTTGAGTGCAGGAGGTGGGAAGTACACTGCTTGCATTCTAAAGGAGGGGTGGAGAAATGTTGCAGTTTTTGAATTATAGTATCAGCACATATAAGAACATAAGAATGGAGGAACACTGCAGAAGGCCTACTGGCCCATGTGAGGCAGGTCCTTATCAAAACAACCTCCACCTAAAGCTACCCAAGAAATAACTCCCGTACCCAATGACACCAATTAAACCCAGCCCCTCCCACTCATATATTTGTCCAATCTCTTCTTAAAGCTACCCAAGGTCCTAGCCTCTATCACCCTACTGGGAAGACTGTTCCACGCATCTACCAGTACTTACCTATGTCCTTTCTAAATCTAAATTTATCCAACTTAAATCCATTATTTCTGGTTCTTACCTGGTTCGACACCCTCAGTACTTTATTAATATCTCCCTTGTTTATGGCTGTCATCCACTTACACTTCAATGATATCTCCCCTCATTCTACGACTCTCCAGAGAGTGGAGATTTTAGGCTTTAAGGCTTTACTGGTAAGACAGTACGTAATGGAGTGAGTAATGTTGAAAGTGGTTCCTCTTTTTTGGGTCACCCTTCCTTAGTGGAAAATGGCCAGTGTGTTTAAAAAATTTAAATACTTGTATAACTTTCATGCATTTGATTGTCGGTTAAGTGGTAGGTTCCAGGAAGTGAAGCTTATCTCTGTCAGATATATGACCACACATATGAGATAGAAACAGATTGCACTGTGAGGGAAGAACTAGAACAAGAGAACACATGAAAGCTTAACTCTTTAATTAGCTAATAGCAGTTAGTAAAAGTTTCTTCATTGTAAGGGTTGTGATACAGAGGAGGGAAGGTTGGAAAGAGGGAGGAAATCAGGAAGGTTGGGAGGAAGGAATGGGATGGATGGATGCATGTATATGAATGGATTGGAGCATAATGTCAAGCATGAATTCAAGAGTAAATGTGACAGAACTTGAAAGTTAAAAGTGATATACAAGTACACCAAGTGGCTGAGTGTTGAGAGGCAAAGCCTAGGAATTGGAATTAAGCAACCTCAAACTTTATTAAGTAATTTCCTACTTAATTAACATCAAACAATTGTAACAGCTTGAAGTTTACCTTGCATTTAGCAGATTTTAATTTCCAGAAAGTACACCGTCAACGCCTACTTCTCCCATACACCCTGGGTTAGGGGACAAGCTGAATGTTCGTCGTGTATTGGAGATGATGCGAGGTGGTGGTGGTGAAGAATCCTTGAGAGAGATTAATCGCCGTTTGCAAAGTCTTCTAGAGGAAACCCTCATAAAGAACATGCAGCTTCATGAGGATGTTGAAAATTTTTCTCAGCAGGTGCACCAACTAACCAAACTGGCTGCAGAGAATACAGAAACGGACAGTTCTTCTTCATTTGATACTCCTAAGTAAATGATATTTTTGGGAGATGACAGGTAAAGCAGAATTATATCATTATATCAAATTTCATTAGGTCTCATGCATAGTTTAATCATTTTTAGCACTTTTAACAATTTTTAACAGGGTTATTTTGATGTTTGTGATGGATTTTCTTAAGAGTAGTGCAGTAGTTTTAAATTTAAGTTAATGCAACATTTATATCTCATTTTACCCAATAAGATTTGGGGAGAGTGCTCATCAAATTAGGTAAATTAAGCTTACAGATATTGAGACATTTTATATTTCCTGTATCATATCAAACTAGGCTTCATTTGATATATAGAGTTAAAAGAGGTATTCATTTCTAGCAGTGCAGGAATGCCTGTCTCCACTGTAGTGAATGTGCAGTGCAAAGAGGATACCAATCTTGTTATATTTAGATTGCATTATATGAGTGTTAAAGTAATTAGGGCTGATGTGTGTTGAGGTGTTCCCAGAATTTTGCATTCTTAAGCTAAATACATCAGCACCAGTTTCTTTTCCTTATGTATAGTGTAGTAATGTTTTTATAAAATAGACAGAGATTTTAAGTTGTAAATCATCTCCATTCTCTAAAATGTTGTAAGCCACAGGAACTTTTGAAATATTTACTAAGAATGGTGTTCTATATACTGGCTTGGTGGCTATGGTGATAATGCAGTTGTTACCTGCTGTTCAGTACTGTAAGTAAACATTCACACTTATATTAAATGAAAGAAATTGTAAGATGTAAAATACAAACAAGAGAAAACAATGAGATAGATAATGAAAAAATTGTAGTGAATGAAAAAATATATGGAGTGTGAACACAGTATGAGGAACCACCATGATCTTGTTGCACAATTGAATGTAACCATGGACAAAAATGATGGGAAACAGTATAGTGCATTCTTGGGCCACCAAGTTATGTTAATCCTCCACACAAGACATTTTACGAGTATTCGGCTTTTATAAATGCAAAAATGAACTTTTTTGGCATAATTTAGCCATGAATGAAGTATGATTGATATAGTAAGAGATAGAAGATTAAAAATTATTGGCAGAGAAAAATCAGAAGTGTCCATGGTGGATATTATGCAATACTCAACATATTGTTAACTAGTTTTATCATTAAGATGCTCCTGATTAATTTTGTTTAGTTTATGCTATGTATTAGATTTGACATACTATAGACAAAATGTTTTATAGTGAATTTTGGTAGAAGATGTTGTAATGGCTCATAAAATCAATGATTTAAAGGAGTTGATAACATAAATGAGATATAAATTAAGAAGTGGGCTTAAGAAACATAAGTAAATAAAATAGGCAAGACTTATCTGGTGGTGCATGGGGAGAGAATCTGCTGTCAGTGAGAGGTTATATCTCTCCAAGGTTCCAGGGCTCATCATCCCCATGACCTGGTCTTGGACCAAGCCTCCTAAATTGGAAAGTAAATTTTACTGGCATAAGACCCATTAAGAAGCACACAAGAAAATAATGATGAGCTTATACCGAATGTAAGTAGTATTTATAAGACTGTCATAGAAGCAAGTTGTAGTAAACGGGGATATCATAAGTGCAATACTGTGTGATGGTAATACAATATTTTAGGGTGTATAGACATTGGAAGACTGTTCTTTCATAATTGGTTTTCCAAAATCCTTCGTTAAGATGGTGCATTAATAATATAAGAAATGAGAGAAGGCAGGGTTGATGCATTCATTTGTATGCTCTAAGTTAACTTCCATACCAATAAATATGTTTAATTCTGAGTGAAATCTGGAACTAAACATATGTAATATTTTCATATCCTTCCTCTCTTCCTTGTATAGTATATGATAAAAATCCTCTTATTATTTTTAACTATTTCATAGCTCAATAAATGTACTATTTTTTTTATCGTCATAGTATTGTGTAAATACATATGTATATTAATTGTGAGAGTAATGGATCCTTATCCATTTTTTAATTAAGGCTTTACTTTTTACCTGAGGCAATAACCCTGTCATGGTAGGGAGGCTTGTATTGGTTTCTGTAACCACCAGGCATTATCAGGTTTGCCTGCTGGCAAGAGGCCAATCAGTTTGCTGCCACCAACATAAGATTTCCATACATGTTATCAGCTCCACCAGAAGGATTGCTGAGAAACCCTCCTAATATTAGATGAGTGAGTGTCCAGTGTAAGATAATTTGGGGAAGCAGGGCCTTTATACTGGCATGGGCAAACATTGTCTTTGCTGGGGGTTGCCTCATTCCAGAAGGTTTTTGACTGCTGTACTTTATTTTCCTGTTGTTCATTGAGATTTTGCCACCACCAGTCAGGAATGTCTACTGCTTCATAATTTGCCTGCAGCCCTTCTTACATTCATCTGAAAGAGTCCTCTCACTAGGCTATTCTATTCTTAGAATCTGTCTTCATCTGTGTGACAAGGAAATATTTTTGTACTCCAGGCAAATACAGCTGAAGTGTTTATAGGTGATAATCTTGTTTTAACACTCCTGTTATCATTTGGCCACAAAATGACTAAGTAAATTGTGTGACTAAGGTTGCATGGGCAGGATACCTCTCAAGCTGATGCTTTTTTCAAATAACCGGCAATGGATGATGCTTCCATTACTGTCAGTCACCCAATTAAATTCATATTAGGAAATGGTTGTTATTCCTTGGATGGTCTTCTTCACACAATCTTTTGAGGAGTGTGTGAGAGATATCCATAGTCAACTAATCTCCAAGGTCTGCCTAACTCCAAAATGGAGATGTTGGTCTTACCCCTCGTAGTAAGTGTCGCTAACTGAGGAAGGTGGCCAGAATTAATTCAACTGCCACTCCATTCGTATCAATTTATCTGACAGAGTAGTGATTACAGAGCTGAACCTATGTGCAACAATGGACTCTCACTAGTTTGTTCATTTGCCTGCCCTATCTGCAGCTTTATAGCCAGAATTACTGTACTTCTATCATTTCTTTTCACCTTTCTGTCTCAATTATGCAAGGTATTCTCACGAATGCTGTCTTGAACTTGGAATGCGAGGTTCACTATCTGCGAGGGAAGGGATTGTATGATCAAACACTGTATCCTAATGTCTAGCGTAACCCATTGTCCTGACAATCCCTCAGTGCCCTCTTGTTTTTTTACTCCACTGCACAACGGTTTCCAGGTACATTATTTTTTTTAGGCCATGCCTACTTTGTTACCTTTCCTTTCTTATGCTCATCTGCCCCAGAGTTCTTGTTTTATTTCTGCTGGATGCTTAGGTGTGTTTGTGATTAGGACAATGAAGTTGCAAACTATTTGCATTCTCTGCAATTCAGAGACTTCAAATCCTGAAGGCAGTTGCCATTTTGCAATTATTTTCCAATACTAACTTGATATCTGTGCAATCACTGGCATTGCTTTTGGTTTACTTTAGTGATCATGCTGCTTTGAATTAAATCACAATTTGGCTTCTGCCTGTCTTTCATTGTTGTTAGTTGTGGAAAAACAGTATTCAAATACCTATATACATGTGACACCAGACTCTTGCACTGTAATCACTTGGAGGGCACTGAGCACCACTCTGAGAATTATCAGATTGTGTTGATAATTCAACATCGTCTGAGTGTCCCATTCATCAGAGAGTATGCTAACTTTATTTGACTTCGTCTTTAATGTCCTGACATTTTTACACTGAATGCTGATTCTCAATATGACCTTGTAGATGAAATGGATTTATTGCACCAGTTGTTACTATCATTTTACCCATATGCTTGCCTTTAACAGTTTACTTCGGTTGATTTGTAATCAGCGTTTTCCTTGCCAAGCAGAGTTTAATGATCCACACAGCTTTGGCACTTTTCTTGAATATAATAATGTAGTACTCTAATAAGGCTGCATTATATGTAATATAATGCAGTTGCATGATAAAAAAAATCTTTAACTTGTAAAGTTTGGCATACTCTTTTTATAAAGACATTATAGTTTTTTGAATGTTTAAATTTATTGCAATTTTTTTTTCATTTTTTGTAGGCATAGGATGATACCAAATTTTAGCAGATACTGTACCAGTACCAACATCAATACATGTGCACAATTTTAGGACAGTGCTAGTACCGACACCGATGCCATCAAAATTAGCCATTGCCCACTGATACCAATACCATCAAAATTAGCTGATATCTATTACTAACACTTTAGTACACCCCTAATTTTCTGTTTATCTGGTTGTATAAAGTTAGCCGAACTTGAGTTCTAGAAGCGGGGAAATACAGTGCCTACACTCTGAAGGGAGGGTGAAGATATGTTGCAGTTTTTGAACTGTAGTATTGACACGCCTCTGACTAGACAGTGATGGAGTGAGCGATAACGAAAGTGTTTCTTCTTTTTTGGGTCATCTTGCCTTGGTGGGAAATGGCCAATGTAGCAATATAGCATGTCTTCATATTTGAGTGCACTCTTTGTTTTGCAGGACCAGAGCCTTTATGGGAAGAGTACATTATAATTTTACAAATCATCATCTTTCAAAGAACCAGAAGTAATATATACAGGAGAAGGGGTTATTAGCTTCTTGCTCCCAGCATTTTAATTGCCTCTTATGATACACATGGCTCATGGAGGAAGAATTCTGTTCCACTATCCCATGGAGATGAGGAAATAAACATGGACAAGAACTAGTAAGGAAATAGAAGAAAACCCAAAGGGGCATGTGTATATACATGCTTGTCTATGCATGTGTAGTGTGACCTAAGTGTAAGTAGAAGTAGCAAGACGTACCTGAAATCTTGCATGTTTATGAAACGGAAAAAAGATACCAGCAGTCCTACCATCATGTAAAACAATTACAGGCTTCTGTTTCACCCTCACTTGGTAGGACGGTAGTACCACCCTGGTCGGTTGGTGTCTTCCAACCTACTACCTAGGAATTTGATAAATCTAAACTAAAAATAGGTATGGTGCTCTAATTTTTTTCTTATGAAGTGATAGTCATGAAGATAAATCATGAGGATGGTGCCAGCAAAGCTACAGGGCTTATTAAGTAAAGAAATAGCATGTGTTTGTCTTATTACTAAACAATGAGTTTTTCTTTGCTGTTTGGTAGGTTATACTTCCATGTATAACTATTTTTATCATTATTTAAACTGTACAGGTACTAGTACAGGCTAATTGGTAATTGCTAACATTAATCATAGACATTAACACAATGATTACCTTCATGGGAACTTTTAGTTATAATGAGAGCACTTAGCATGTAAAAAGAAAGATTGTGATCGTAAGTTTAGTTGTAGAAGATACATGGCTCTGAGTAGCAAGGGTTTGAGGTATTTGCATATGTTAATGATAATTTAGTCTCAGGGTTTAAAAATAAGGATCACTCACACCTCTAGAGACTGAATTCCACATGACCAGTCATTGCTCCAGAAAGATACTTCAGGTTCAACGAGATTATGATAGGCTCTAATTGATTATTGGGTACCATTATGTGGTCCATAATCTTTATTCTTCCCATGCAAATTGAAATTCCAAGTGATGTAAATATCAAGAATATCAAGTGTTACTGATGTAACTAAACTCAGGACCTGAGAATCTGAATTCCAAACTCTTAACACAGCAATGTATAGTGTACTCGTTATTTTCAAAATGTTGCTTTTGGTATACAGTAAAACTTAACAGATTTGGCTCATGAAATGATAACACAATTGCAGACAAATCACAGAATGAGTGAAGTTCAAACCCATGGCAAGCAAGTCCTAAAATTCGTAGGCCAGTGGTTAGCACACTGGCCTTCAATTTTAGGGCTCATTTGCCATGGGTTCAAGCCCCAAGCATTCTTTGATTTAACAAATCTACCCTTCATTTAAGTGATCACATCAAATATATACTGTAAGGCCATCTCTAGTTTGGCACATAACAGTTAAAAACTAAATAACCCACTGCCAGGTAAGTTATAAGAATAGAGCAGGTTACAAAGTCGACTAGTTTTCATGGGGGAAAATTGGAATATGTCAAAATGTAATGCATATACTGTAGAACCAAGTTATTTTAGGATCATTACTTTTTTTTTTTTTTTTTTTTTTCCAACAAGTTGGTCGTCTCCCACCGTCGTCGCCCACACTCCAACATGAATGCACAGCATGTTAATGATCAGACACAGCAGAACACTGGTTATAAGCATTACAAATGTGTAAAACTGTTGAAAACCTTTAAATAGCAAAATGATGCTTCATTGATATGGCACAATAGAACCACTGTATTTCCTGTAGAGTTTAGCACTTTGAGTATAATGATGATAATGTATTTCCTGTATAATACATGATGTACAGTAATTCTTAGGTGTAATAGAAGGTGTATACCCAAGAGGTATGTATTACCTGTGTGTACATACTTGTGTGCAGTATACAGGTACACTACTGGTAAAAGGTTTCTCTTAATCCTCTTTTCAGGGATTAAAGTATCCTTTGTGTTAATGTCTGTGTGGCCTTAATGACCCTTGTGTAGTTGATAGGCTTTAAACAAACAAATTTAATAAATTAGGTTAAATATTTGTGAGGGCTTTCAGTCATCCTTGACTGTCAGCAGGTCCTCGAAAATTTGGGGATGGGGGAAGAGGAAAAAATTAGTGAGAAACAAATTGAAGATTCTGAATGGTGATATAGCCACTGCAAGATTAAAGTAATCTGGGATTGGAGTACAGGCATACCCCATTGATCATTACTCTCAGTTGCTGCCCAATTGTATTTTCAGCCCTGTAATATCACTATTCCTTTTTTTTAATGTTTTGGAGCTTGACCCCATTGATTGTTTTCATCATCCACATCAGTCAAGATCCGATGTCAGGCAGGTGGGCCAGACCAGCTCAGTTGATAGTGCACTCAGCTCACACATTGAGTGTCCATGGTTTGATTCCCAGTATGGGTAGAAACATTGGGCATGTTTCCTTAAGACACCTGCTGCCCCTGTTCACCTAGCAGTAAGTAGGTACCTGGGTGTTAGCCAACTGGTGTGGGCTGCATCCTGGGGGACAAGATTAACCTAAGTTGCTCGAAATGCTCTGCATTTAGTATGTCACTGATGTCAGCTAGGTCTCCATAAGTTGTATCATGTACTTGTTGAATTAAAGATTATAATAATGGTAAAGGAAGGTGAGGTCCCATTGCTAGTTAGCCTGAGAGTCTATGGGAGGTACCATGACTCCTTCAAAGTTCTGCTCTTATTAAATATTTTTAATGCAGTTAAGTAGAAAATTATCAGCGAATACTAAAATATCCCAGGATCAAAAAGCAAAGAAAACTATTGCTGTACTTCAGGCTTAAAAATTGACATTTTATAGCATTTTGAAGTTGGGGAAACCCTTGTGAAATCTCTCAAACTATTGGCCTAGCCTCTTCAATAATATATTCCATCAGTAAGCAGGAAGCTGAAATTAAATCTCGATTATATCCCATGCTCTTTCAGTAATGTTTAAAGCTCCTTAGAAATTATCATGGATGTAATGATGTACAGTACTTGATACTAGAGAAACATAGACTGTTACAGCAGAAGACATTCAGTATATTTCAGGACCTAAAGAAAAAGGTAAGAATGCTTCACTAGAAATTGTAACTGTGATATGAGGCTAGTTTGATATGTTTGAGATGTAATGTTATGCAAACTCTTAAAATGAGTTATGAAACTGTTAGTGCTAATAAAGAAGTCACAAATAGTTTTAAGGCTATTTTGTTCCTGTATTTGTGTTCAGTAGTAATAAAATTGGGTTGTTTTCAAAAAGAACACTTAATGGAATATTCTTATGCAAAGAGTAAAAAAAATAAAAGTTTTAAGATAGTCAGGGAGTATCTTGCATTTCTTTTAGATGTCACTGCAGCTGGTGGTAGTAATCTTAAGTCAGTGTAAGCTAACAATTCTAATACTCCAAGGGCTATAAAAAAAAAATGGAGAAAACTGCCATCTCAGTAATATGGCACTTTATATTAAAGCCTGGATAAAAGAGCTGTTAAGAACTGATTTAAAAAATACATTATATCTTTTAAAGTGTTAAAACATACTGTGAAAAAAATGACAATGCTCATGAGGAAAGTACTTTCATTGCTTAATTTGTTAGGTCATCTTATTAGTTTATGAAATTTTTCTGAAAGTATACTGAGCTTCTGTCCAACAAGACAACTTTGTTAATCCAGTCAGTAGATGAAAACGAGGCAGAATTATTTAAGGATTTTTGTTTGAACATAATTTTATTTATTATTATTATCACACTGGCCGATTCCCACCAAGGCAGCGTGGCCCGAAAAAGAAAAACTTTCACCATCATTCACTCCATCACTATCTTGCCAGAAGGGTGCTTTACACTACACTTTTTAAACTGCAACATTAACACCCCTCCTTCAGAGTGCAGGCACTGTACTTCCCATCTCCAGGACTCAAGTCCGGCCTGCCGGTTTCCCTAAACCCCTTCATAAATGTTACTTTGGTCACACTCCAACAGCACGTCAAGTATTAAAAACCATTTGTCTCCATTCTTTTTTTTTTCAACAAGTCGGTCGTCTCCCACCGAGGCAGGGTGACCCAAAAAATAAAGAAAATCCCCAAAAAGAAAATACTTTCATCATCATTCAACACTTTCACCACACGCACACATTATCACTGCTTTTGCAGAGGTGCTCAGAATACAACAGTTTAGAAGCATATACGTATAAAGATACACAACATATCCCTCCAAACTGCCAATATCTATTCACTCCTATCAAACACGCTCACGCATGCCTGCTGGAAGTCCAAGCCCCTCGCACACAAAACCTCCTTTACCCCCTCCCTCCAACCTTTCCTAGGCCGACCCCTACCCCGCCTTCCTTCCACTACAGACTGATACACTCTTGAAGTCACTCTGTTTCGCTCCATTCTCTCTACATGTCCGAACCACCTCAACAACCCTTCCTCAGCCCTCTGGACAGCAGTTTTGGTAATCCCGCACCTCCTCCTAACTTCCAAACTACGAATTCTCTGCATTATATTCACACCACACATTGCCCTCAGACATGACATCTCCACTGCCTCCAGCCTTCTCCTCGCTGCAACATTCATCACCCATGCTTCACACCCATATAAGAGCGTTGGTAAAACTATACTCTCATACATTCCCCTCTTTGCCTCCAAGGACAAAGTTCTTTGTCTCCACAGACTCCTAAGTGCACCACTCACCCTTTTCCCCTCATCAATTCTATGATTCACCTCATCTTTCATAGACCCATCCGCTGACACGTCCACTCCCAAATATCTGAATACATTCACCTCCTCCATACTCTCTCCCTCCAATCTGATATCCAATCTTTCATCACCTAATCTTTTTGTTATCCTCATAACCTTACTCTTTCCTGTATTCACTTTTAATTTTCTTCTTTTGCACACCCTACCAAATTCATCCACCAATCTCTGCAACTTCTCTTCAGAATCTCCCAAGAGCACAGTGTCATCAGCAAAGAGCAACTGTGACAACTCCCACTTTATGTGTGATTCTTTATCTTTTAACTCCACGCCTTTGCCAAGACCCTCGCATTTACTTCTCTTACAACCCCATCTATAAATATATTAAACAACCATGGTGACATCACACATCCTTGTCTAAGGCTACTTTTACTGGGAAATAATTTCCCTCTTTCCTACATACTCTAACTTGAGCCTCACTATCCTCATAAAAACTCTTCACTGCTTTCAGTAACCTACCTCATACACCATACACCTGCAACATCTGCCACATTGCCCCCCTATCCACCCTGTCATACGCCTTTTCCAAATCCATAAATGCCACAAAGACCTCTTTAGCCTTATCTAAATACTGTTCACTTATATGTTTCACTGTAAACACCTGGTCCACACACCCCCTACCTTTCCTAAAGCCTCCTTGTTCATCTGCTATCCTATTCTCCGTCTTACTCTTAATTCTTTCAATAATAACTCTACCATACACTTTACCAGGTATACTCAACAGACTTATCCCCTATAATTTTTGCACTCTCTTTTGTCCCCTTTGCCTTTATACAAAGGAACTATGCATGCTCTCTGCCAATCCCTAGGTACCTTACCCTCTTCCATACATTTTATTAAATAATTGCACCAATCACTCCAAAACTATATCCCCACCTGCTTTTAACATTTCTATCTTTATCCCATCAATCCCGGCTGCCTTACCCCCTTTCATTTACCTACTGCCTCACGAACTTCCCCCACACTCACAACTGGCTCTTCCTCACTCCTACAAGATGTTATTCCTCCTTGCCCTATACACGAAATCACAGCTTTCCTATCTTCAACATTTAACAATTCCTAAAAATATTCCCTCCATCTTCCCAATACCTCTAACTCTCCATATAATAACTCTCCTCTTCTATTTTAACTGACAAATCCATTTGTTCTCTTGGCTTCCTTAACTTGTTAATCTCACTCCAAAACTTTTTCTTATTTTCACAAAATTTGTTGATAACATCTCACCCACTCTCTCATTCGCTCTCTTTTTACATATGCTTCACCACTCTCTTAACCTCTCTCTTTTTCTCCATATACTCTTCCCTCCTTGCATCACTTCTACTTTGTAAAAACTTCTCATATGCTATCTTTTTCTCCCTTACTGCTCTCTTACATCATCATTCCACCAATCGCTCCTCTTTTCCCTCCCGCACCCACTTTCCTGTAACCACAAACTTCTGCTGAACACACTAACACTACATTTTTAAACCTAACCCCATACCTCTTTGACCCCATTGCCTATGCTCTCATTAGCCCATCTATCCTCCAATAGCTGTTTATATCTTACCCTAACTGCCTCCTCTTTTAGTTTATAAACCTTCACCTCTCTCTTCCCTGATGCTTCTAGTCTCCTTGTACCCCATCTACCTTTTACTCTCAGTGTAGCTACAACTAGAAAGTGATCTGATATATCTGTGGCCCCTCTATAAACATGTACATCCTGAAGTCTACTCAACAGTCTTTTATCTACCAATACATAATCCAACAAACTACTGGCATTTCGCCCTACATCATATCTTGTATACTTATTTATCCTCTTTTTCTTAAAATATGTAATACCTATAACTAAACCCCTTTCTATACAAAGTTCAATCAAAGGGCTCCCATTATCATTTACACCTGGCACCCCAAACTTACCTACCACACCCTCTCTAAAAGTTTCTCCTACTTTAGAATTCAGATCCCCTACCACAATTACTCTCTCACTTGGTTCAAAGGCTCCTATACATTCACTTAACATCTCCCAAAATCTCTCTCTCTATCCTCTACATTCCTCTCTTCTCCAGGTGCATACACGCTTATTATGACCCACTTTTCACATCCAACCTTTACTTTAATCCACATAATTCTTGAATTTACACATTCATATTCTCTTTTCTCCTTCCATAACTGATCCTTCAACATTACTGCTACCCCTTCCTTTGCTCTAACTCTCTCAGATACTCCAGATTTAATCCCATTTATTTCCCCCACCAAAACTCCCCTACCTTTTCCATCCTATGGAAGGGAGCATGGACACGGGGGTCA